AACGTACTTTCGCAACGCACGCGTCATGTTTTCTATCCGCAAAATTTGACCGCAACATATCGCAGGTATCAGCATTTCCAAATTCGCCAACATTAACTTCGTCATGATAATACGATAATACGATACGAGCCACTTGAAAATGATGATGTTACATCAATGCCATAATGAATCAGCGATAAGCAAGCATCGATCGATTAATCACAAAAAAAAAACCATCGGTCTCGTTCCGCAAAAGCTCCCGAAACCGAACCGCTGACGTGCACTTGATAAGCGATTGATATCGCCCGAGGGTTCACGATGATCCGAAATTAATGGTGTTACGGTTTCCCGCCGAGGAACCGAGTTGATTTTTGCTAATTTATTCGAGAGGTAGACATAACAACAGCCAAGTGAGTGGCTATCAATATAGAAATTTATTTAAACGTCACTCTAATTGGATCACCTTATACAAGCGACTGAAGCGACGCGACGACTCCGTTCGCGGAGGGAGTATATAACGAGATCTGAATATAACGAACCCATCTTCTTGTGTGTACCGTTACATAACGTAATCGTGACTATTCCAAATTTAATAACGCGCTTCCGCAGACGAGTGGCCGTTGAATTAATTGCGTTAATTGATCGTTGCGGTAAACCACGTGCACGTGCCACGTTCCGTTTCACTCCATTTTCTTGCACCTCATTATCTCGAGGTCGAGACGGGATTACGATATTGATCGCCCGAAAACTATCCCGCGGAATAGCGTCTTTCAGTCAAAATCAGCTCGAGTTATATAACAGAGTTATACATTGCATATTTCATCGCGGATATAAGAAATTATTAATAAAGCGGAAGTATAATTTCAATCAATTGTTTAAATGCTATTGAAATAGACATTTACTATAAATATCTTTAAATTATCTTTATATTTTTGTAATTTTTATGATCTTTCAGCGCGTCTTGCGAAAATAGAATTGTCCATCGATTTTATCCGTTGCCTTGCAGAAAATGCACTTCAACTAGATGTCCTCGGGAAGTGGGAGACGCGAGCGACCGCTCTCTATCTCTCCTCTTCGTATCTTATTTTCTGGCGTTAGACGCTTTGTACATTGTCCCTGACACGATCGTGGCTGCATGCCGTGCAAAAAGTAGGGCAAAACCGGCCCGGCTCCGACGACGGGCCAACTTGTGTAACGACATCGCCCCGCGCGAGCCAAGTCCGCTCTCGGGGGTGGGACATTTATTACGACAACTACCTACCGACGACACCGACAACTTTCTCCGGCAGGATAAATAACGAGGCAACCAGCAAAATATTTTACCCGCGGCGCCGGCGCGGCGGTACGTTGAGCTACGGGCTCTAAGCCTACGTAGCTTAGTTCGCGGAATGCGATTGGTCCCCTTCCGTATCTCATCCTGCCGACACAGTTACCACCCTGGATTTGTCGGGTAATCCACGAGGTCAAATATTAACGATTCCGCTCGTTTGCTGCCGACCTCGTAACAACGAGGGTCCGTAGATTGTCGAGGATCTTATCTCGGCCTTTGCTCGAACGATAAAACGTTATACAACGAATAATATCGAAAATTATATCGAAAATGTTTGTTTCAACACGCTCTGATTTGCTACAGATAGCTTGTTAGAAGGTTATTAGAGATACGTAATCGAAAATCGACAACCGATATGCTAAAGAGAGGGTAAAACGTTGACTTGCAAACCAACAGCTTACGGAATATACCTAAACTCGGAATACATCAAGAATCCTTAGTCTTGTTACTTCCGTTTTCGGTGGCGGATATTTACGAGTGGCTTTTTTAGATGTTAAACGGTTCGCACATCCTTACGTTCTAATTAGAGCAGAAATGTTGAGCACCGAGGTTAATGTAGTTATTTGTTTGTCACCTGGGCCTCGCGTAATTTTATCACTCCGCACTAATGCCGCATTAACGGCACGAGGAATTATAAATTCCTGCGTCAAAGCGACCGGTGTTACTATCTAACGAGGCAACGGAGATTTCATTACGCTGGGCGCGAAGGGCTCACCCGGTATAATCGGATTCGCTTCTCTCTCTCTCTCTCTGTCTCTCGTGGAGGAATTGGGGCATAATTTTCGGAAATACCCGTGACCGCACCTGCTTTATCAGTCCGATATTTCGCAATTTAATGGATTACATAATTCATAAAGGCTTTACCTCATAATGGGCTGGAGTTTCGTGCTGTCCTCTTAAGTGTCTCCATAAATACATTACGGAATTCCTGTCTGTGGTTTCACAACTGAACTCTTGGAAACAGACATCGATTCATAATGTTATTTAATGAAGAAGAGAAGGTATTATACCTATCGGCAATATATTTTACGGTTTCTTCTTTTCTCGCGTTTTACATCTCGCAACGTATCGTGCATTTCAAAACGTCGAAAGATGCCGTGACGTTTATGGAGACCCTGAAAAATCGCTCGTGACTTGGCGAGACCGCCATGAGTCATCGGCCTAAGGAATTATACTCGGCATAAAACGAGCGGCAGTTAGTATTACGAGAATTGCTTCCTCGACTTTTGTGAAGCGCGTGGCTCTCGCGCTCGGGAGGTCACGGGAGGCGTTTGAAGTCGCCGAGTCTCCGAGGCCAACCGCCATCCGCCATCCACCGCCCGCCGCCATCCCACCATGAATTCATTCGCACCCTCATGAAATTCAAAGCAGTCGTTACGGTCCTGGCACAACGACAACGACAACGAGTGCGACGGCGAAGAGGACGAAGAGGATGAAGAGGACGAGATGGCGCGTACAGTTATGTGCGCGGATGTATAGTGGTGCGCCTAGCTACCTACGTGTTCTCTTCGCTCGCACGAGGAAGGGTGTTCGATGTTTTATTTATAATTTGTTTATCTCATCATCTGCTCGCGGACCCGCTGACTTGTATATGTAACGGTGTCTACACGCTGCCGCGATGCCGCCGCAGTCCGTCAGTGACTCTCAAGCGTCAAGCGTCCGTCGAAAACATGAATAGTCAAATGTCCTTTTCTCCTCCTCGCCATATTTGTCACCGGGGACTTTTCCCGCGAGTGTCGGCCGGTGCAAGTGAAGCAGATAAACTCCCTCGGTGAGAATTCCTCGAGCAAACTTTTTATTCGTTTCACATAACGGCGAGAAGCACGATAGAAGTTGCAATTTCAGTCTGAAGACCGCAAATGTTTTAGAATTTCGGTTGTGCGTAAATGATGCATAAGTGACGTTTTATCTTCTCTCGCATTCGTAATAACGACAAAACTGACGATCATTGACAACAGGTGGAATATTGAGATCACAGATTCTGCGCGATTCGGAACGTATTACATATATAAAAGCGATATCCGGATGGATGTGGAGCCAGAAAAACGCTCGCAGACCATCTCGGGCTTCAAATACTTCGACTCGGGATTAATTCTTTGCGACATATACCGTTACGTTACGTTGATCGATGGTAAACGATTCGAACTTCGCAAACTGATTGATTTAACGGATTACAGCAATTATTTAATTTTCCAGCGGATTTTATACGACGCTCTGAGCGAACATAATGTTCTCGTTGGAACATTTAGAATCATAGAAGCCTGGGAAAGGCGAGGATTTCGTAAGAAACAATGCCTGGAAGGCATTAGCCAGTGCATAACCAGTTGCGCTACTTGCGCTACATCTCGTGCTCTATATCAGATACGAACATGCTATTCCGGATGCGTTCAAGTGACCTGATCTGACATTCTCTCGCCGAAGGCGTGAACACGCTCTATGCATCACGACATGATGAAATTCAAGGACACTCGTTACAATATCAATCTACGGTGTGCAGTACTCGCAAATAACGTGCACAATAGATCCTCGAAGAATATACGGAATGTTAGGTGAATGGGTACAAGTACTCACATTATCGGAACAAAGAATCGGCTGAACCAGCCGATGCCCACGTTGACTAAAGCGCTAGCTTACAATTAGTTTAGCGAGCTCGTTTTACGTTTTTCTCAAATGTAAAGATATTTTTAACCCGCTCTCGAGGTCTATTTAAATTAAATTTTATTTAGGGACACTTCGGAATAATTGCATTAACGTAATTCGGTAGGGAGGTGTTCTCGATATTCGAATTGGTCAATTATCTCTCCCGAATAGCAGCTCGATTATGTAGATAGATCTTTTTCCGAGCGGTTCATCGGGCGGATTTAATGCACTCTGGAGGCAAGCGCGTTCGATCTGGAAAGGTTCAGATGGATGAATAGCTACTGAGGTCAAGCGAAGGGTCGCGAAATCGCTCTCGTGTAAGCACGCAAGTCTAAGGAGGTCGAGTGCCCAGCTCTCTCCAGGCTTCCAGCTTCTGTGAGTCCTCACGGCCTCCCATCCGTGCAGCTCTACTCCGCCGCCATGACCTTTTCCAAGGTGCATTCTCTCGTTTTATCCTCTTTCCATCTTAATAATTGAGACGTAAGATATCGTAAGTGGATCCTTTGAGATGGCTGGCATATTCTTTTGCGGCGCCATATAGAAGCCGTTCGCGAAGACGAGCGGAGTGACTTCAATTTCGTCGACGGTTAAATTAAGTAATAATTTTCGATCGTTTTACTAGCCTAATTAGTATGCAGTTTGGTCGAATGGACTGATTTAACTTAACTGTTTAGATTTTAGATAATAGTTTATGTTTGAGCTTATGTATGAATTTAGGTGAAATTTCCATATTCGAATGTTTAGAATAGAAACAGTTGTGTCATGAATTCGAGTTTAAGTTCTGTACAAATGACATGTAATTGACATATATAATTGGCTATTTTACAAGACTTTCACAACTGATTTGTCATAACGCTGTCAACTTGTCTTTGTTATTATGTTACAGTGAAAGGAAATCTCGTTAAATAAAACAGTCTGTAAAATAAAAAAAGGTCTATCTATAAATTAGCAATGCAGACAAAATATCTAATTTTATTTGTATTGCTGCAACTGTTATGCAGAATCAGTTTTAATGTAGACGACTGACAAGGGTATAGAAAAAAAACGGAGCTTTGTGTATATAAACACGATCGAATATCTTTATTAAATATTTCGCCAAAAATTATTTTGTATTTACATTACAATAATAAAATCTATTAACTCGGTGGGAATAAATGTTGATTCTACTTCTAAGTTTTTGGTATTGATATGCATAGTATTGATATTGTTATCTAATCTGCTTTGAGAGTGTAGATCACTTTGTAATCGTTTTTTATGAAATCGGCGACCCTCTCGCCGATCATGTTGACCACGGCAACGGGATTACCGGAAACCATCTAAGAGATAGAAAACAATTAACTGATTACAAGAGCTAGAGATATGTTAATCATAAATTTTTTCTGGACTATGCACATCGAAAAATTTCGTAAAAATTATGTGTACATTCAGCACGATGTTAGATTAGTTTCTAAACATATCCATAAACTAATATCCTAATTAGCAATTAAGACTTTTAATCGACCCTAGTGGCTATCATTATAATCGTCATGACAATACAACATTGGTTTTAGTCAGATTAATTTTCAAGGCTTAATTGCTAATTAGGTTAATTAATGACTAGCGAAGTAAACGTTGCTTATTCGGTTTGAATAAACTAATAAGAAAACAGAATGTGACGATATATCAATTAGTCGTGATATGTTCATCAAAATTTTGAGAATTGCTACCTACCTTGGGCATAACGGAGGCATCAGCCACTCTCAAACCATCTACGCCGTGAACCTTGAGAGCTGGACTTACAACAGCCATGGGGTCCGAGGAGGTCCCCATTTTGCAAGTGCCGGCTTGATGATTTTCAGGCCTGGTATTGTATCGGAATTGGCAATCCCAATAGTCATAATTCATTTCTTTTTTATACTGTTCGCATTCTGGGACGGTGTCATCTACCATCTTCATATTGTACTTTTTCATCGCGTTTGCCTTTGGTAGTTTTAAGATATGCTGAAGACCTTGGTACATAATCGATCGATCTTGCGGATTCGCCAAATCGTTGCCCCAAATGATCGGATGATGTAAAGGGTCGTTCGAGGCAAGTGTTATTCTACCTGGAATTTATCAATGAAATACATTTAACTATTGCGTCACGGCAGCGAGCAGAATTTTCATTTTTTACAGAGAATTATATAATTTTTTAATTTTATTTAATTTGTTGATACTTTCAGTTTTAATTGTAATTAGTTAAAATTGGAATGCAATTGATTTTTTTTTTATATTATTACGGACATCATAAAATGAATTGATCGAATGAATAAAATCGAATAAAGAGAGCTTTAAATACTAAAGTAGACAAAAAAATATATTGAAATAGTTTCGATGAAGAGTGACAGAAAGAGTTGAAAGTGTTTAAAATCTCATTAAATATGTTGCGATACGTAGTTATTTACATTGTCGGTAGTACTTTTATGCTGGTTACAATTAATAAAATGCGAGTTACATAATCATTAACTTACCTCTACTTAAGGCTTGAAGATTTACGGAGGTAAACCTAACGGTTTCTTTGTTACCGTCCGCTTTCAAGTCCGGAATTCTGTCGCCTGTGTCGCAAATGGCTTGATAACCGGCGAAAAAGATCTGAATGTCCGGATCATCGTTGGTAGTATAGTTGGACGCCAGTATTCCGGTAAGTTGGGCCAAACCCGTGGACGACAACGGACCGGTTTGATTGTAAAAATACATATCAGCACTATTTATATTCAATTCATTTGTGTTTGTCTCACTGAGAGTGAAATCCACGCCGAACGATTGATGGTTGTGGAGATTTTCGCCGACTCCTGGCAGATCGACGACTGGGCGAATCCCCACGGATTTTAGGTGACTCTTCGGCCCGATGCCCGATAGAAGCAGAAGCTGAGGCGAATTTATGGTGCCAGCTGCAAGGATCACTTCTTTTCTCGCTCTTACGTTGTATCGTCGACCGTTCTGCAAATAGCAAATCGTTTATCAAGTCATGTGATTCGGGATGAATAATCGCGAAGTCGCGCCCATAGAAATTCGAAAAGTATGACGAGCCAACTTACCATAATGAAAGTGATTCCATCGGCTTTCACTTTTGACAAGATTTTTTTCGTATTCACCTTCGTCGCCATCGCGTTCAGAGCCACATGTAGATTTTTGCGGTTCCTGTGCGGCCACAGGAAAGCCCTGGCAGTACTAAGTCTAACACCATTGTTGCTGATCGTCTGCGCCACAGTGAAACCTTTGATATTCTCGCCCACCAAGTCTTCGGTAGTTCCTAAGCCTACCTCCTTAGCCGCCGACATTATGTCCCAAGCGAATTGCGGCTGCCAAGGGAATCTATTAATGAAAGTAATCAGCGTGTTTAATTCATACGTGTAGATCAATTAAATCGGTAGGGAAATTATGGGGATTACGTTAGAGGTACGCTGTAGTTCTAAACACATATATCCTGTTCAATGAATGCTGGATCAACTATTCTAATCACGAGATAGACAAGGATAGATGCGACGCTGGAGGGAATACCTTTCGAGGATAAAATTAATTTTCAAAGAACAACTGATTGTATCATTATATAACAGACAACAAAAAACAATTGATTATAAATTGATCATGGCAATCACACATTTACTCGCGGGTACAACTACTCTGGAAAAGACACGGATGATTTCAGATCAGTTTTTTGTTTTATATGACGTAAACGATCGCGATAGCATAAAAAAGTGTGAGAATTAGAATGGTATAATTCAGGAAAAAGCATGATGTTTGCACCTTTCGACCGTCATTGGACCTCCAGTGCCATGATCCTGTGCCCTGACCCTTCCAATTTCTTTATTGTCTTCTGATTTGAAGAAGTACGGCAGCACCTAACGTACAAAAATTAATAATGCGTTACGTCACATCACGAAGAGTCTTAACAATAATCTTTTCATGCTTCATACTTCTTTCCACGACCACCCCTCGTTTCCCATTTCCACCCATCTGGCATAGTCTTTCTCGTGGCCTCGATGATACGCCATACCATGATGGCCAGTGCACCCTCCGAGATTTTTACCCCTGGGCCAGCTGCAGCTGCCGTTAGTTTTCAAGCACGCGTACGATTCATTCGTGGTTTTATACTTCCAATCTAGTTCGGTATCTGTAATATCGCACGATTGATTAACCGCACAGTCTCTAATTTTCTAGCGAAAATTTCTAATAAAAACATAAAAATATATTTACTCAGATAGAGTTGAAGATTGCTCGGTATTTGCATGCCAACTGGCTCGTCCGGTCCGGCTTCCACAAGGAGCACATTCCAATTAGGAATTTCGCTTAATCTAGAAGCCACGACCGATCCACCCGCACCACCTAAATTAAAAACATAAGATGCAGCTGTCATAATATCCATTCAATCCCATAAATCGTATACAAATAAAATCATCTTAACTCGATCGTTGATTTTAATTGTTATGATTCAGGGAATCTCGGGTGGGTGCGATCAATTCTGTGTGTTCACCGAACACAATTTTGCGAAACGTTTCGTTAAATTGCTATTAGACAAGATAGGTCTTAATAGTTAATTATGTTTACGGGCATATTGATAATCTTACCTCCAACGACAATGAAGTCGTAAATAGGTAGCGGTCTCTTGATGGGCGTGATTCGCCCGCACACACCATTAATTATTGGACTATAGGCAGCTAACACGTTCACCATAGACAGAAACAAAGTGGCCGAATTGCCGCTGCAGACATCGGTCAATGAGAGTCCACTTACGAAGGGCGACGAACATGGTGCTTCCGGCACCTCTGACACGTTCTATAATACCGTAAAATATATAGCTTGCACGACTAAATATATTGCGGCACTTAAGAATGTTGATCTCGAGTTTATGCATCGTATAAACCGTAGAACGATGCTCCATTATTTTGTGAATATCACGGCCATTACTGTTGTGAAATCACTTTACTCTTGCAATTAAATTACAAATAATGTAATAATATACTAGGATTTAATGAATTAAATGTTGCATAATTCTCTCGATTAACTTTTATAAAATTCTATAAATTCTCTAACTAGAGAAATTAATTACGATTGGGATATTAACTTGTGACATCACATCTCCAATATAGCCGTCTCGATAAGGCTTATATAGGCACATACTATTTTATTCAAATATACTCGTTTTCAAATACCTATACCTGTTTTAATTTCTATCTCGAAATATTGGAAAAAGTTTCAGTCACGCGTGAAGAAGATTATTTAACATTCTTACTAATGCGTCAAAACTTTGAGTTAGGCTTGACAATTTTTAAAAATGTACTTTTTCCCTTGCACTTGATATAATTGACAAGCGATACAACTGCAGGATATCAACATACCATTTTCCGTGAATGCGATCGTCGCGTCTTAAGGAATCTTGTCCGTTGTGCTCGGGTTTTACTACCTGATTGCGGCGTCCGTTTTGTTGTCGCCTTGTTATATACCCGTTTCCTGTATGCATATGCACGTTCCGCGAAATGTCTAGCTGTGATTAAGTGCTCAACGCACATAACATAAAAATGATAATAATGGCGCTTGTTATAATCTCTGCTTGTCACACTTGTAAATCACTGCGCGTGCTATCATTTCAGAAAAATGACGGATAGTCTGTCGCTAAAATAGTGCAAATAAAATAGATATGCGCTATTATGACCTGCATTTCAGCTGAATCCATTTGCATCTCGGAAATCGTAGTAAAAGTTTATATATCGCACATAAAACTTTCATAGACATTAGTTTATTGATAGAATTGTTTGAAATTTTTATCAAATCGCTTTGTATAAATAAATTAATTTTGATAAATTGGAGAGATAAGGCTTTGTTGGGTGTCCACACGTGGAAGGAAACGGGCTAATTAAGAGCCAATCGCTGTTGATGGTGCGCAATTATATTTATTCTTCATGGAATTAAACGACGTACGTTTCGGTCCCTATTCGGACCATCTTCAGCAATGTGCTGTGTGAGTTGTAGAATGTAAATGTTTAATTATAATATAAATAATAAAAATAAAAATAAATAATTAACAAAAAATAACGACTCTGTCATTATCGAACGCTCATGACAGACGGTTGCTTCTTACGGATGGAGAAGTGCTCCTCCTTATGGCTGGCACCTAGAGGAGGCCACACATAGAATATCTTGTCACCCGTGAGTGGCCACCGACGTGTCAAATTAAACATTTACATTCTACAACTCACACAGCACATTGCTGAAGATGGTCCGAATAGGGAACGAAACGTACGTCGTTTAATTCCATGAAGAATAAATATAATTTCGCACCGTCAACAGCAATCGGCTCTTAATTAGCCCGTTTCCTTCCACGTAATTTTAATAAATATTTAATTATTATTATAAGTAATTGTTTTATTTTTAAGATTTCGAATAATAAGGAAAAAATGGGCTTTGAGAGTCAAATTGTTTAGACTATATTTTGAGCCATCTTCAGCAACGTGACTATAGATAAATTAAATATATAATCTCAAGCTCTCCAACGAACATAAGTGTTGTAGCTCTCCTGCCTTAATGTAGTGAGTCAGGAATGTGATAAAAGTAATACAGTTGTCTTAAGATAATTATTCCTTTTATTTGATAATTATCCTCCATACAGTATGCGTAATGCGTCCCGGCTCACCGCGAAGTATCGCGCTCTCGTCCCGCGCTTTCGCGCATCCTTCTGCCCAGGGCCGTCGGCGTATGTGGGACCGGACAGGCCCCAACAATAAGTATTTATAAATTGAATGTACAAAGATAGTGTAATTTTCAAGAGGAAATACCAGAAAGATTTTGTCATGATGTTCATAAGTTTGCAAAATGTTTGGACTAAAAATGAAAATTTGAACTAACCGGTAAAGAGAAGTGAAATCCACTTACCAAGTCCAGAGAACGTGAGATTGACAAACTGATGTCTTGAGAAAGACAACGAAAAATGAGATAATTTTTAAGCGATGATTGATATAATCGAGACAATGATATAATCAAGAAATGGACCTGGTTCCAAACAACAGTTAATTCGCTCGGCTGTCAACCGTTGACTTAAACGGTTAAAATTAATTAATGAGGAGCCTTCAAGCGCAACAATATACGAAAACATGCCATTATTCTTTATTTTCGTTATTGTACACATAACTCGTTTGCAATTAAGGATGATAATTTGAGAAAAATTTTTCCGACAGAAGGATTCTTAAAATATATTCAGTTTTTAAATACTCACCTTATGCTCGCCAGAGAGCTTGAGATTACTTAATTTATCTATCACTGCGTCGCTGAAAATAGTTTAAATTAGAGTTGAAACGTACGATTTATAACTTGTATTAAATGATTAATAAACATTACATAACGTTATCTAATCGTGTTTGACTCTCAAAACTCACTTTTCTTTAAGATTTCGGTTATCGCACTTACTTACGATTATAGCATTCATTTATGACACGTAAATGCAATTCATAATAGCATTGTAGGAACGGATTATCGGAAGCGGGTGTGTGTGTGCGAGCTATATTATATGTTTTTGTATCTACTTGCTGTCTATGCAATCTTATTTATTTACAGTATTTTGATTTACACTCGAACATTCTGAGAACGGCCGAGCTATCCATATTTATAATCCATTTCATTTTTTTACATATTTTTTAAAACTATTAATTACTATGTTTTTGGTGGTTGGTGTACCAGGTACCAGAATCTGTCTTTGGTCATTATTTCAATAGGACATCCATGGGTGTTATTATATACCACAATTATTGAAAAGTACTATGAACGCAGTATTGAAAGAGATTGTTATCATGATATGTACATCTAAACTTTTTAATCTAAACTCTTGGTGCATACGGTAACTAAAAACAATAGGAAATTATAGCTTGTTTAAGGAATTAACAATAATAGTAACAATATACTCGTAAGTTGTACGGAGATTTGCGCTCGCGTTGCGCCATGGCTAATTAATTGATAACGGATCTCTTTGACAGCCACGACGCTACGAGATGCACAATCTTAGGAGATTCTTAACTGAAAATTAAGACATGGCGGTACAGCGAGACGACGACTGTCTTCAGTCGTTCGAATCTCTGCGTTAGTAACAATAATATAATTGCACCTTGGAATAATTTTGAGCATAATCTAACGTAGCAAGTCCAGCTCGATCGCTCGATCATACCGAAGAGAAAGGAAATCGCAGCCTACGGGAATCTTCCAGAGAGTCCTGCCTTTGGTCGCGTTCTCGCCGACTTTCTTAGGCTGCGGAAAACGCATTGATGGATGCAATAAGAGACTAGATAGACCGTAGAGCCCGGCTACCATATAGCTTGATCCCAGTCGATATACTTGATCCCCCAAAGTAATAGGTCCAGCGTACTGTCGATCGTCGTGTGTGAACTAGGAAACATGGTAAATTGCTGGTGACTAATTGTTGTAATGGTGCCTCCAATGATGGTTGTGTTTCCATATGGGGCTAGGTTCTTTCCCGTACCATTGTGTACCGGCAACGCCCCAGTCGGACTTGATGTACGCGGCCGCCTTTTCGCCGATCATCATGGCCGGGGCTGCCGTGTTGCTGGACGTTACCTTGAAAAGCAATCACATATTCGCGTCTACATCTTCTCTTTTAGTTTTGACGAATTAGGATTAGAAGAATCTTATATCTTTTATAGAGCTTTTATAAATTTGTATAGATATATAAAATGAGATTTTATCATAAAAATTATATTGAAATATTGAATTAGAAATGACTAAAAAAAAATGACTAATGTAGATTAAAGTATATTATCAAATTGACGTCGTCGCGTGAAAGCTAAATTTATCAATCTCGTTTTAGACGACTTATAATTCGCTCAGATCAAATTTTAAAGATTTGGCGCATTCTTATTTATAATTTGTATGCTGTATATTTTTATGCTGTATATTTTTATGCTGTATATTTTGATAAAATTATAAAATATTCTGAATTTTGACACGAATTATAGATCGTCTAAAATGGACGCTTTACGTAATGGGGAATCCCAACGAATGACTAAAAACTCAATGATGAATGTGCACCTGAACGATAATAGTGAGTTAATAGTAATGGAGGATCTTTGCAACGAAAAAATTCGAATGTTTCGCGATCCTCGCTAATGATCGTTTATCTTTGTCGGAAAGTGCTTAGAGTAGAAAACAAAAAAAGGAAGGAAAAACGCATCAACACTCGCGATATTCCCGCGATTGCAGAAGATATCTACCTGCGGCATAATGGACGTGTCGGCCACCCGGAGATTCCTGATGCCGTATACCCTCAATCGATTGTCGACTACGGCCATGGGATCGTTATGCGGACCCATCTTGCAGGAGCCTGCCTGATGATTCTCTGGGCCGGTATCTTGACGCACGGCGCAGGCCCAATATTCCTTGCTCAGATAAGGATACTGAGAGCACACGGGCAACGGTCTATTGTTCAAAGTCATATTGTACTTGGCCATGGCACTGGTATTGGCGAGGGATAACGCGACTTCGATACCTTCAACGAGGATCGTCACATCCATAGGATCGTTGAAGTAGTTACCCCAGATGATCGGCTTTGCGAAGGGGTTGTTACTGGCAAGACGCAGCTGCCCTGTGGTCAAATTCGTTTATCGGTGACGGAACGATACGCTGACGCGCCAAACATTGACTGTCGAAAATCGCCGAAATTTCATGGCACAAAACGCAGGACATAACGCGAGAGCATTGATTAATCAATTTGTAGAGAAATTTTCTCGGTGATAACCACGGTCGCGCGTGCGCGGTCGAGCCAATCCTATCATTCCTACGTTAAATTACGGGTGGAATTTTGGTACGGTGCCCGTGATCGATGATAAATTCATCGAAATTACCATCTAATTAGCTAATTTTTGCGGACAGAAGTCCGATACTTCGGGCTAATTACGTTCACTCACCCTTGCTCCGCGGGTGCGTCATCGTCGGCGACATGCTGATACTGCGACCGTTGCCGTTCATGGTGGCACCCACTTCACCGGTGGTTGCGCAGGCCGCCTGATAGCCACCGAAAAACAGCTGGATATCAGGATGATCTGGCGTCGTGTAGGCCGACGATAGCATCCCGGTTAATTGCGATAAACCAGTCGATGACATCGGTCCTTTCTGGAAGGCGATATATTCCGTGGCGGACGCCCAGTTCAGGTCGTACAGGTTCGGCTGATTGATGGTCCACGATAAAGTGTACGACGCGTGATTATGCAGGTTCTCTCCAACACCTGGGGCAAAATGGTCCGATCGATTAAAAACGCAATTATCGACTTTGGCATAATTCCTGTCGGTGATCCGGCCGAACGTCGACTCGACGCTCGTTTCCGTCAATTACGTTCAATAAGAACGAAAACTTTCCGCTTTTCGTAATTAACGTAGACGTTCACACCTATATCCGCGAGAATTAATCTCGGTCATACTTTAAATAAGATACTCCGAAGAATCTAAGAACTAATTTTCTTCAATGCCTAATTAGTTCTCTTTCAATAGCGCAAAATTCCCGTTAGGCTCTTTGTTAAGATTATTTCTGAGAAGAGACTTGATATTATCGTAATGCAGAATTGCGAATCGAATAATAAACTTTCGTGCGTCATCGGTAAATTACGTTAAATTCTGTCGGCGGATTGTTATCTTCTCTGGGAAGATACATCGTCTTATTCATAATGACTTATGTACGATGAATGGATCGCTTACCTGGAAGATCCTTGACGACTGTGACGTTCACCGCCTGCAGATGTTCCTTCGGCCCGATTCCGGAGAGTAGCAACAGTTGAGGCGAATTTACGGCACCACCGGAGGCGATTACCTCCTTTGTGGCGCGGGCAACTCGAAGTTCACCATCCTGAAGATGCGTTCATTGAAACTCACATCACCAAACTCACTGACGCGCTTTAGAGCGCGAACTTGATTTCGCGTCTAAGTGCCGGTAACCGCTCCGGCAAAAAGCAAAGTTCGCCGATGCTGCGCGATATCATTATATTATCTTGCCTACTTTCAACAACGTGTATATTTTGCGGTATTTAATTTGCGTCATGTGTTACGATCAATTAATGAAAACACTAAATCAAGATCTAAGTTAAGAGTATGACCTTTAAATGTATATATATATAACTCGCGGATATCTAAAGGCGTCAGTTAAATCAGATAAACTAGGACAAATTGATTATTGATTCGCATATGAAAAACTCATAAATGCAGCAAGTAAAATAAAAATTATCCTCTTAATACCCGTGAAAGTGACTCTATTATGCTATATCCGTGGACTATACCATTATGTAATTATTGGTTTGCACATGAAAAACTTCCAACTTCAGCGAGTGAGATAAAAATGATCTTTTTAATACTCATATAAGTGACTCTATTATATGATACCTGCCTGCGCATGAGCTATCAGCTATTATATAATTATTGGTATTTTATACACGAAAAACTTAAAACTCCAGCGAAAGGGACAAAAACTAATGTTTTTAATATCCATGAAAATGACTTTGCATCGTGCAACTTCTGCGCACGACTACTAGAGCGTTGTATCTTAATATAGCTAAAACAATAAAATAAGACCCTCGGCAAATTCTCATTCGTGCATGATACAGATTTTTCGAGCGTGACGTATTCAGCGTATTAATAAAAGTTGCAGCGGGTTTCTCTGTAACTCTCGACTGGATAAAAACCTTTTGCCCGCGATATCGTGACAAGCAGAATTTCCAGTAGTCATAAAAATTATATCTGTCAATTATGTGACCCTCGAGTATTCGAAAATAGGATATTATAGATAATATTGCTGCAATTATATAACAATTTGGATTATTAATCTGAAATAAGTGATACATTTTTGACATCCTTGAAAGATGATATAAATTGAAATTTCATCCTATATCTCTTTTTACTTATATTAAAATTTTAAAATGGAATAGATATCCATTAAATTAGATTTTAAATTAAATTATGAATCATTAAATAATATTTAACGAGTTATAATGGAATGATTTCTTATTAAACGAAATTTCTAATTTTTGGCAAAGTTGTCGACACATATGTCATATTTCATAATAATATACTAATTAATAGAAATAATAATTAAAATTTAGAATAATTGTTAAATACGTATTTAAATATTAATAAACCTTTACTGCGTGATAATAAAATGATGAAGTACGTTTCTTGTGTCACCGCTGCCGAATTAAGAGAACATAAATGCGTATACTAACTTGATAAAATTCTACTCCAACAGCTTTGTTATTTTCGATCATGATCTTCGTGGCGGTGGCATTTAGGGAGATGTGCAAATTGCGCCGATGCCGTATCGGTCGGAGGAACGCCGAGGCGCTACTCATTCGGACACCACTTTTGCTTGTAGTTTGAGCCACAGTAAATCCTGTAAATTGGTCGCCATTCAGGTCCTCGCTAATCGGGTATCCTTTTTCGACCGCCGCCGCGAGGATATCGTCTGCGATTGCAGGCTTCCACGGGAACCGTTCGACGGTCAACAGACCACCGGTCGAATGATATTTGCGACCAATTCGATGGATCTCCGTGTTGTTCTCGGAGCACATAAAATATGGCAAGACCTAAACAAAATCAGCCATTATCTTTTGCGAATGTATTCTTCACATTCGATCTCTTCAAATATTTTGGAGTTGAAAATTTTTAGCGATCGATATTTGAAAAAATATACTGACAGAACTTTCTCTTCCTAGATATTATTTTATAAAATAGCAAGACTTGCAATACTATGGTTAGGGCATATGCTAATGATACTATAATTTATACTTTATAACATACTTTTTACAAGTTCGACAAGTTATGGCTGAACGATTGCATACTTAAAACAGTAGTTTGTATCTTTTATTCCGCATAGTATCTCATTTGAGATTACAAGTCTTGCAATCTAAAGAGACGGAGTCTGAATGTTTTAGACTGATTTCACTTTTCGCGGCTAAAATTAATTTGCCTGAATTTATATTATCCAAAACACTTGAATATTATAGTCCATGAGGACAGGTTTATGGGTTTATGGGATCTTACATCGCGCCAACTCCATCCAGGATTGCCCATGGCCGCCCAATTGTCAAAATCTTTCGCGTGACCCCGGATATACATCATACCATTGTGGACGGACGTCCCGCCTAGATTTTTACCGCGCGGCCAACTGCAGGATCCGCCGGTTGACAGACAAGCGTTCATCTCGTTCGTGGTTTGATACTGCCAGTCAATGTCAGATCCTATCGGTAAAATTGTCAGATCGTTTAACATGCGTAAAGCCCGCAACGGATAGTAACAGCATTTGCAATAATAGGTATAGATTCCAGATGAGCATTGCAACAATTTCCTCTCGGAGGTGCTCGAAACACTCGTATTTTAAATAAAGGCGATATGATTATTCGCGTTATTCCAGATCCGTGGATATCTTAAATATACTCATTGACAATGAGTCGTTCCACCACATCTCGACAGATTTTATCGTAATTAATTTGACATCGATTCTCTTTTAATAAAATTATCATTGAATTAAACGCGTGGCGTCCCGATTAAAATCAAGCTTCAGAGATGCTAATAAATGATAATATATTAGTTCTTATTGAATTTTAAGCAGACACATTTAAAGTTTTATTTTACAGCATAATTAACGAACATTAAAAATGAAAAAAGGTTATTCTACAGAAATATTCAACAGGGCATAATCGAATCAAAATGAATCAAGGGCGAAAAAACTTTCGTGCATTTTCTATCTCATAATTTTGATATTCATTTCCATGTTGAACGACAAAGTAAAAATCAAAACTGATCCTAGATTGTAAGTACCCTAATTACTCATTATCGCGAGGTTTAAACGTGGTGTAGATAACAGAACAGCGGCGCTGTGTATACAGGGAGGGTCCAATTGAAACTTACCTAGAAACATTGCCACCATACTGGGAACATCGGCACCCGGTGGTTCGTCCGGGCCAGCTTCTAGCAACAAAACTTTCCATTCCGGTATGTCGCTCAGTCTAGACGCCACCACGGCACCGGCTGATCCTCCTAATTCCAAAGCGACAAAAGTCATTAAAGTCCTATCGTTATTCAGCGTGAAACCGGCTATGGTTCGAGAAAAATGCATCCGCGACCGGCGCGCGGCGGCGATGCGGAAGAAACAGGTTTCGGGCGAAACGCCGCGCTATAATTACATTCGCCGGAAGGAAAGCATCTGCGCGACCTTAATTAACTTTTTTTCGCGATTAGATCCATCATCGGCCGATAAATCGCGGCTTTATCGCCGCTGGATCGTTCTTCCTCTCTCATCGTCCGTATATCAACGTTCACCTAATGATAGGCGTAAGGAAAGCCAGGAAGAGCTCTGTGCGTCCGATAAGAGTTGAAAAGTCACCATTCGATGGTGATTATCGTGTTGACGTAAGGACGTAATATATAGCTTCAGATTGTTATGTTAATCGACTATCGCCGGATATACGTAATTTGGCGCCGCGGCTTATTATTACGATCTTATCAATTGTTACGAAAAGGCTTGTCTACGGCGCAGTGGAAAGCTGGTGGTTAAGGCCTTGACAATGGATCGCCAAGAGTTAAGTGATCCCAGCCGTGTACATTTTTCCGCGCTGGTCTCTTTGTTGATTTAAATATTTCTTTGCCTTTCCAAAACGGATCTTTTTGAAATTACTAAGTCACGTAATACGATATGCAATAAATACTATATGCTATTTGTCCACGTATGAGAAATATTGTATGTACACGTCAAATCTTGATATTTCATGTTGGTGTATAAATTTATTCGACGTTCTATTTCTAATTCTGGGTTTTGCATCTTTAGTCGGTTGCAGGATATTACGTCAGTTTATTTGCATGCCTGTACTTTTAACTAGAACACTGCGAACAGCGTAAGGCGTAAGTTCTAAAACATGCTTGGACCATTTAAATAAAGCATCTTATCGCGATGCTTTCGCAACTCTGTGCCGGACAAATGAATTGTTAATTTAGGTTTTCACGAATACGATGGAAACAGGCGTTCCCATAAGCGGAGGCCTCTGCGTTCGCGTGGTCAGTCGAGATTTGCGAATGTCACCGCATTATCGGCGACGTTCGTTTGAAACGGTCACGCGACTGGCATAATTTGTACGCCCGTATAGCGCAAGTACAATAATGCAGGAGCTTCAATAATGTTGTTTCATCATACATGAAAATGTATTATTTTGCTGCAGCGTATTGACAATAAACATAAAGACAGGGGGAATTTGCGTTTATTTTTCTTCCATTTTTAATGTCCAATTAATTGGACAGATTAACTCAACGGGACCGTGAGATACGCGTTCCACGCGACATAAATACGTTTCGCAGGTCCGTCGCTTACAACGGAATCGCGTTAATCGAATTCTATTTTCCCGCAGATATTACAGATTACAGCCGGGATATTCTAATCAAGAAATTCAATTAGCATTTCCGCATGTGTATCAAATCGCGTTACGGTGACTGCCACTTGCGTAATACGATTTGCCTGCCCTACTTTGTCGATCGCGCGTAATTACATCCATGTAAATCGGGCTCGCGTACAACGGCCAAATACAAATGCTTTCTTTCCTGACTTAATGGGCATTTCCGTGTGCATGAATACGCTTACGCGCCCGGCGTTTTTACAGATTAATTTTGCGGTGAACGCGAGCGCGATTTTATCGCGCCTCATATTAAGTCACTTTCTTTCTATTAGTGAAGCTGATAAATGTCTCGGCATAACGAACTCCATCGACGAGGAGCCAACGGGAGAGAATTTTTCGAGCGAGAAATTTTCATTTCTGTTATTTAGAAGAGGAATATATTTTTACGACCGAACGAATCATGATAATTTCTTAATAGAGATCAAAACGCATCGTAAAAGTCAATCTGTATTATCTGGCATAAATAGCTGAGATTTGCATATCGGTGCACGGCTCCGAACCGCATTATTTGCATGACACCAAAATATTGCAACAATGTAAACGAACCTTTCCGGTCGCGCGTAATGGTATACTTGATAAAAGTCGTTATCAAACGAGGAAAAATAACTTCTCTGAAAAGCAAATGCGTTTACGTGCTCAAACTTGAACATATATAACAGTAAATCTCTCATGCCACATGTTAAAATATATGTACAAATAATTTATATAAATTTTCTTCCCTTTTTCCCTAATTTTATACCGCTGCATAAACAGTACTCGAGATTTTAATTAAAGATATTAGTTGTTTTCTAATATCATTGTGTCATTTACGTAACTTTTATTTTTGTTTTTATTAGACCCTGACATTTCTATTTATGTACCAGATTTCTCGTGAATTATGAAACGACTGATCATGTTATACGATATATAGGTGAGGGAACGAGATAGTTAATGCATATTCAACAAGATTACTTCCGCAAGTCAGTTCCCTCTTGTTCATACACATCCATGAATTTTATATTTATAATACAAGGCGGATAAATATTTATTTAACCACAGCCGCTGTAACGTGCTGTCTGGGAAATTGCACATGTTTTAACTGTATTAAATATAAAAGTTAGTATAGATTTATTTTCTTTATATATTCGTATTCAGCTACAGTCTTCGTGCGATGAAATATTTCCGATCTCGCCGCTTTTTCCTCTTTTGCTCGGTAAAATACTCGTGATATTTCAATCGATGGTTGTTAAACGTGTTTGCAGCGTGCTCGAGAAGGCACAGCGCTATCGTTTGTAGAAAAACGAGTTACGCGGCAAAACCGCCGGTTCTTTTCCTTCTTCTATCCACAAATAGAAACAAGAAGAAAGTCCCGGAAGGAAGAAAAATACGCCGGCATGAGTTCGCGCGAGTGAGTCACGCGGGCACGCGCCAAATTCGTCTCTCGATAATTAGTCATTTAGTTGAGCTTGACGCCGCGCCGCGACCTTTAAGCACTGTCCCGCGTGTTTCTAAAGAATTTTCATATTGACGCCATGTCGGAACAAACCAGGAGGAATTTTATCCGCGCTAAATCAGCTTAACGATGTCTATAATTAGCTCCTTTATGAGAACCACTTTGAATTCAGCAATTAATAAGGAAAATTACTTCCTCTTCCGGACAAACTTTCCGTACACGTATTATACTTTAAGTAAGCAAACGTGAATACGAATTGAATTTATGTTAATTACATTGTTCTAGGAATATATTAATGGCCAAAAAGAATATTTGCATAACCTAGCTTAGAAATAACTTTATGCAGAACAGAAAGATATTATCACAAAATAGCTTTATCGTGACACGATTTATATTAATATATTAAATAAAGCATATTTATAGTAGCATGTTCTTTCTCTACAAAATTATCCAGTAAAAACAAACCGCGCAAATCTCTCACTTTTTATCCGTTGTAAATGCTCAAATAGAATATAATTGAACATATTATTATTTAAATAAAGTAAATTTTAAATAAGTGTCTAGAATATCTAACTCAATTAAAAATAAAAATAACTGAAAAATAAAAAACCTACATGAGTTTTTCATCTCTATTAAAGTATGTACGTCTATATTAGTACCATTATTTTTTAATATAATGGCCTTTTTCCTGCTTAAATTAAAATATCGTTAATAAAAGATGAATATATCTTTTTTTGTACTAATTTTCTATTTGTAGAAATAATAAAATATTTCAGTTTGCTCGGATGACAGTTGATTTAGCTGTTAATATCTATACCTCGAAACATCAGTTTTTTCTTAGAAAATCTGGTCTTGTCCTTCCTGTACATTTCTTCTTGCATTTTCCGTATAACATTATTCGACGGAGATTGAGAAAAATATGTTGTCTAATGAGCGTGCAAGAATGTCATTCAAATGTCTGTCTCATTCGAATGGTAATATTCTCCCCATTGCGCACCGGGATTGTTCTCCATTTCCTCACGTTTCCCCGCGCGGCTCGACGACGACGGCGACCCGCTTCCAGAGCAACAGCGCGGAAAATAGACTGCGTCCGATCGCGATCGTTCTTGTCGCCGTTTTTTTGATATTCGCGATCCGTTCAGCCTCTCTCTCTCTCTCTCTCTCTCTCTCGCAGGAAGAATCAGTAAAGTAGTAACATCCGCGAACAGTGACACGACAGTATATAGTACTTCTTTCCGCACGATTTTCCGTACGGCACGTTTGCGCCCCAGAGCGTTGAAAAAATATTCTTTCGATGCCTGTTCGAAAGCTAACACGGTCTTACTACTAGCTATTTCAGTTGCGTGTACAGTAATTTTTTCTCTGTGTATATTAAATATGTGTGTTTTAATTAAAAAATTTTAATTTATTGAATATTTACATGAGCGTACGTTAACGATCGATTATCGAATATTACATACAACTACCGGAAATGCAATTAAGACTAAATGAGATTATGATTAAAGTGAATAATAAATAAAATTGAGTTTTTTAATAAAAGAAATATTAAATTATTAACTCTACGAAATTAAAATTATATATATGTATATATATATATAAAACTTATATATAAAACAAGATAAAGAGTCGGCTAAGCACTTGTTGACAGCTCTTTGTAAGCGCAATTTATGAGAAATGTTGAAGACGTAAGTAGAAATATGACGTTTCAACGTGGGAGATAACGTCCTAGCTTTGTGTAACGTTAACCAAAGTATTCTACTCTTTAGCACCGTTAGGAATTTTAATAGAGTCAACTGACAACGGCATTCGTTGGTAATAAAGATCGCGGGAATTGCTGTTACGAGACGTGGAATTCTTGGACACTGATTATTTTTATTAACCTCTGAAGGCCAAGATATGAAATACTATTCATGAAAGTTGTTGGTGAACGAATGATTGCCGCTATTGCAACAAATTGTCTTTTTACTACAGTATAATTGACATCATATTTGTTACAATTAAACATTTTTTCATCAACTCAGGTAAATTATTATTTGCATATATGTAACTTTTCAATATTAAGTAATCTTCAGTTTTTTGCAGAATTCAAAATTCAAAATTTATTAATTCTTTTTAAAGCTCACAGTATTTATTTATTTTTATTTGCTTGTCTGAAATCAATA